TTATTATTATTATTATTATCTGTATCTCTCCTAGTTATTCTGAAACTTGGTTCTTTCCTTTCTTTTTCTTCTTTTCTTTTTCTGTTTTTGTTTATTCTCGTTTCTTGGATTTAGCCGGCGGTGAGACAGCTTTCCCTCACATAGAGTACATATAAGAGACTGTGGAAGAATACACACAGATATATATATATATATATAGAAAGAGAGATAGTGTTTTCCTGTAGGTTTTTTTTTTCTTTTTGAGTTTGGATTCTATTTTTCATGATACGCAAAAAGGTACTTGGGGTTGGCGTAACCTCAGCCACCATGCTTGTAGAAGATACTGAAAATGGAAATAGATTATGTGTACTGAAACGAATAAATGTTTCCACGTGGGGAACCAAAGATGTTACAGAGGCACATGAAATGTACAAATTACTTTCTCAGTCCAATATTCGTGATATGGTAGAGTTAAATAAAGTACTTCTACAAAACTCTTTTTTAAGCTTCGTCACCTCTTATTGTCCAGGAGGTAATTTGGAAGAGTATTTAGAAGAAAGATTAACTACTCCTCTTGATGAGAAAATAGTTGTACGATGGTTATTAGTTATGGCTATGGTTTTAAAACGAGTTCAAAGTCTATCAGATATTTCTTATTATGGTCTTGAACTTAAACATATATTCTTATCAACAAATGGACGTGATATTTCTGTAGGACTTCCTATTCCACGCATGTCCTACTTCACACGATTATCCGATCGTGAGTCTAATCATGTTTCCCTAGAACTGGAGTATCCACCGGAAGTCACCAAAGAACAGAAATATCATATGGGTCCTAGTGATGTTTGGCATTTGGGACTTATTGGAATGAAATTACTGACAGCCCATGCGAATTTCACACAGCGATCGAATGAACTTCGCCGATGTATTTCTATCATGATGGAATCTAGATTAGACAAACGACCCAGAATTCATGAGGTTGTACGCATGCTGTCGGCATTACTTGGCGATGATGAGGAATTAATGCATGGACGCCATGATCCACTGAGTTCATTCTCCTCCAATCAATTCGTTACGCCGATCTCATTAGAAACCGCCACTCGCACAACCGCCATCGGCACAGACGACTCCAACAGTGATGAGAAGAACAGAGGAATGGAGCCGGAGGAAACACACCCGCACGATGAAGTACTGCGGAATGGGGGACGACATCGACTACCGCCGAGTTGGCACCGCCGGGCAATGGAAAGATTTGAGGAACTCCAGCGATTAAACGCAAGTCCCATACGTGGAAAGTCCCGCAATGCCTCTCGCAATGCCTCTCCCTCTAATAACGGAAGACGATTGGGTTCCACATCGTCAGAGAAGCAAACATCACAGTTACTACCGCAGACCCCCACACAAGGGAATGCCCACGGCAGAACCTCCAGTGTTTCTTCACCCGTGGCTGGAAAAGGAATGGATCGCCGTCGACTTCGCAGTAGTGGTGGTAGTAATAGTAATGGTAGTCCTGCTGGAGGAGGGACGGCAATAAGTATAACGCAGCAAATGATGAATGAACAGATGGAGCAGCAGCGTAAACGGGAGATGTTAAAACAAGATTATGATGAAAAACGATGGAAACAGATGGAAAAGGAACGTTTAGCTCAAGATGCCCATCGTAATCATATGGATAAAATGAAAAATATCCGTACTAAAAGAGGTGAGGAAACAAAGAATGATATTCGCAAATACATCAAACAATGGAAAGAACAACGGAAATCTTCAACTGATGAACATGTTGTTGTGAGTGAGCAGAACGGTGTCTCTGTCTTCGCCCCAAAGACTGCCCCAACACAACAAGATGAACCACAACAACAACAAAAACAAGTAGGATCATCATCCCCACGGCCACCGCCACCATCACAGCCTACAAAACAACCACAACAAAGGCCACAAGAAGTATTCACTCCAAAGAGAGTTACTAAAAACAACGCTGGGGTGGTAGGAATGGAGAGAGCCATTACAAGAATAGATACACAACCGGTAGTTGCCCAGAGAAGAGCAGAAGCCATCAACCAACCACCACTACGTCCACTCACAGCTCCACCCCGCGTACAAACACCACCTCCTATGGGCCCAACACGTTGTGCTTCTGTATTTATTGAACGTGGGATAAGTCCAGATGTTCCCTCAACACGTGCACACTTTGCTGAAACGGTTCCACCACCGGGAACTTGCTTCTCTTTACCCAAGGCAGTTTCAAATATGTTTTCTGTTCGCTCGAGTGTTAGTAATAGCATGTCCATTAGCAATGGGGGTAATAGTGCTCCTCTCAATATGGCTCAACCAATATTAGCAACTCCATCTTCTTCTGATTTTTCGCTTTCGCGTAGTATTGATGTTGAACAGAGCAGAAACAAGGCATCACTTGGTGGTAAACGTACCGATGTTGCTCTTCTTTCAACTCTTGAGATGTCTAAAACTTGTCTTCGTAATTCTCTGATGAAGCTACTTGTAAATAGGAAGGTTTATATGGAAGCCATGGATGTTGTTAGTGCCTTTGTACTCCTATCTGAAGCTGAACGACATAATCCCCGGTTTAATGTAGTTTTTATGAATACACTTCGTGAAGTTCTTGGCAATGAGCAACTCTTCGCCGCCGCAGGGCCGATGTGTGCGCAATTGGTGGCACTGCAGGGTCTCTCACAAGTAGTTTGACCTCTCGGGAACAAGCAAACAAACAAAAAAAAAAAAAAAAAA